AACCTACAAAACTACGATCCTAAACCCAAACAAGTCTAGGTTTTAGGTTTTAGGCTTTAAGATCCTAAACCCAAATACCTATTTACTAGGTCCTTTGGACCCTTGGAGGGAGGTATGTTGGGACCCTTTCGCCACCACAGACTGGAACTGTTGTCAGGCCCCGACCAGGGTACTGTGCTGGCACATGTACTCTTCCCCTCTACCTATAGTCTCCGCTGTAGTTCTTTTATTGATTAACCAAGTTTATATTTCAGGACCCTAACCCCTAAACCCTAAACCAACAAAAGGTTAATCAACAAAAAGGAACTACAATGGAGACTACAGGTAGACCCCTAAACCCGACCCCGGTGTCGGGGTTTAGGGATTGAGGAAGAGCCCCTTTCATGATTTTAATGCACTTTTGGGACCTGTAGGGTGGAGGGTTTAAGAAGCCTGTAAGGGTCCATGTACTCATCTAGCATATAGCTTGGTTTTGGGGGGGTTACTTTCGGGGCCAACGTCTATACTGCTACATGGGCACATGGACCCTTGTCGTAACCCTTCTATAACAGCCCTGAAAGGAATTCTTGAAGGGGGCGCCCTTGAATTATATGCACCGTTATGGGAAAAAGGGAAGTATGAGCAGGATGAAGCGGCCCGGTGCAGATGGACTGAAGCACGCGGTCGAAGAACAGGAGGCCTGCACCCGGTCTCTGGCTTTTTGGGGCGGTTTCCTGTTGTTTTTTCTTTCAAGGCCTCCTTTCCCTGAGCCCCAAATCCTATGCCCTAAACCTTGTTTTAAGATTTCTCCCGTAAGGTTGAAGCGTCGGACATGTAACAGGCTGCCTTGTCAAATCTCCCCGAATCTTCATGATTCCGGAAAATTCGTGGGGAGCACGCGCTCTTGAGAGGTAGGGGTTCTAGCGGGTTGGAATGATTTCTGAGGGCTTCACAGAGTTGTATGGAGGTCTTGCGGGGCTTAGTATCTAATGGCTCTGACGGGATCAGGAGATGCAGGAAATTCCGACTTAAGGTTTCTGGGGTCTAAGGGCTCGACGCGCTTGAGGGTTCAAGAGTTAATGGTGTTGGAGAGAACCGTATACCCAGCATACAATCGCTGAGAACGACTATCAACCGTTGAAGGCTGTTTCGAGTTTGGAGCGGGATTCTTAGAAAGGAAACTAGACCGTCCAAAATCGCTTAAGAACGGGATAACCTACCAAGCGAAACCTTCCCCTCCAAAAAAAAATCAGACTTCTAGCAATGCAGGGGTTGCTTAGTAAGCGCGTGTGCGTCAAGCTCCTGACAGACCAAAACCCCTGAAACGATTGGCAGGTCTGTACGGGCTGCGCCGCGGCCGCACTTACCCTAAACCCTAAACCCTGAACCCTGAACCCCTAAATTAAGCACTGCCTGCGGGCCTTGACGGCTCCAGACCACCAGTATCCCAAAGTCTGAAATGGGAGTTTCCGTAAATAAGGGGTACCTTATTTTGGGGGTCCTGATAATAAGGATCCTACTATTTAGGGTACTATATTAGGGTCCCCTATTTTGGGAAACCCCCAAATCTTAAGCCCTAAGGCTAAGAAGCCCTAAACCCAAAGCCCCTAAACCTACGTTCCCTCGGCCCGAATTTCCTCAGCCTTCTCATTCCACCATCTAGAGTG